GAAAGGTAGTGACTTACATACTGAGATACACAAGGAGAAGACTGACTTAGTGAAACTGCAGCTGTTACTGCAAGGAAGCATCACAGCACAAGTAATCACTAATATTTAACTTAGGGGGGCTGGGGGAGAATTTGTTCCCTAGCTTTGGCTTGCCCCCTTAAGCATTTGTTACTTAAGTTTATAGTCATATGCCCCCAGCAGAGGCGTATTTAGGTGGGGGCTGAGGGGGCTTGAGCACCCCCCTCAGGGCTGGGCTCAGAAAAAATTACTGAAGTCCTGGACTCTTGCATCACTACCAAGCCTCTTAACAAAGTTATCTAGCCCCCTTATCATGATTTCAGCAGTTTCCAGTGCTTTAAGGAGCAATCAGAAGTACCAGTAACATAGTAGTATGCTTGAAATGATCTTGGCCCCACCCGTAATTGACGAAAATGCAGGAAAAGGCCGTTTTACCGCCGTAAAATGGGTGTGACCAAAATCGCAGCGCGCTTCGCGCGCCCCCAGCACCTCCCTCCTTCAATTCCTAGATACGCCCCTGCCCAGCATATTTAATTGCTAATATTTAGCTTAGGGAGGGCAGGGGGAGAATTTGTACCTGGCTTTGCATTACATTACCCCCTTAAGCAGTATTTATAGTCACATGCCCCCAGAATTTTATTATATTGATTAGGCTCTCTTGAGCAAATCTACATTCATTTATTAAATATCCTCTCCTCTCTTTCTCTCCTCCATTATAGGTTAATCAAGGTGTACAGGAGTACGCTAATGTGTTCTTGAAGGACCTAGGACCAGCTGCTGACAGGTACCCACAGGAACACATTGAGAGCCTGAAAGAAGTATACAGGTATGATACTAAGAACCTTCTACATAATATAGGAACATGTATATGGAATTTTTAAAATGATAAAAGTGGAGAATTTTTAAATTTTAATTTTTGACGAAATTGAATTGGCCAATAACCCAGTACAGGGACTTTGGCCCAATTTTGGAGCAACTTTAAAAATTCATAAAAAGTCCAATTTTGATCGGAATCAGCTCAAACTTTCTACGCAACATAAGAACATGTATATGCATCAGAAAAAAATTTTAAATGAATTCTCTACTTTTCATTTTCGACAGTATATGGACTCTCCATGCATGCATATGCAAAATTGTTTATGTAATTGTTGTTGTTTATTATTTTAGGGAGTTCATTAGTTTGTGTGACGAGGCCCTCCAGTTATTTGCTCAGTTGGCATCAAAGGAGCAGTCTCTTCTTGTCTTTGAGATGAACCGTCAGTTCTTTATAATGAAACAATCACTAGAACCAATACTGAAGACTAGAGGAAAAGTAATTTATGATAATGATAGTAATGCAGATATCTTCTCTCTCTCTCTCTTATCTCAAACTCTTCTTTGATCACTGTCTGTAAAAATTATATTCATAATTATTTACATAGAATTAGCTTTGCTATTATTATTATTATTATTATTATTATTGTATAGTAAAATGATAATAAACTTTGAAAGTGTAAAAAAGTACATGTACATGTATGCATGTATACCGGTACATGTACATGTACAGTATTATTATTAATAATAATTATAAAATGACAAGATGATTTATGGTTCTGAATTATAGCAATATTTTATTTTTAGTTGGTGTCTACTAAAAGTGTTGGTAGCCTGCCAAGTCAAAGAGGGCGTGGCTCTAGTAAATCACACCCACTCGTAATGAGAACAGCAACTACTTTCACCTTACCGACAGAACACAAAGAACTTACAACCATTTAACACTTATTATCACTAATAACTTTTTATAAACTTAAAATAAATACACATTATTATACATACATGATTTTTTGACCTATATTAGCCCCACCCATTGTCAATTAATAATATTATTTTTAATTAATTAATTATCATTAATTGTCGTTGTTTATTGCCTTCCTCTTTTGTCGTTTCAGCTTTTTCTTTTTCTTGCGTCCTTGAAGATCTTTTGTCCCCCTCTCCAGCTCCAGTCTCATTGCCCTCGGTAGAGGAGTAGTCACAATCTTCACAGTATCAGGACTGACTTGAACAAAACGACAACCCTCCATCTTAAACCTTTTAGAGGGCTCTTCTTTAAAAGGAACATCCTCTGGAAGCGTGTCTTTAGGTAGCTGCTGGCACCATCTAGTGAATAATGGGATCCTGGGGTAGAGATGCGCTCTTATTAGAACTCGAAGCATTGTAGTGAGCACACGTGATAGCACGTGGGCGAGCCACACCTCCAAGAAGATGGCGGCTAATAGGAGACTGAGAATGAAGAATAAGCAACTCCTCTCGTTTCTCCAGGAGATGGACACGCTAGAGAGCGCGGGCTACCCCAGACATGTATGGGATATGGAGCAGTATCCCACACCACCTGATCTTGCCTCTGAGCTACTGATAAACTTGGAATTAGTTGAAAGAGCAATCGAAGGAAGAACTGTTGTTGATTTAGGATGTGGTTCTGGTATACTAGGACTTGGTTGCTTGCTGCTAGGAGCTGAGAGAGTAACTGCGATTGATATTGATCCTAACTGCGTTAAGTTAACGCAATCAAATGCTAACGATTTAGGAATCAGTTCAGATCAGCTTAGCGTGATTCAATATGACATTAAGACGATCGATACTGATCAATTTGATAGAGCTGATACGGTGATAATGAATCCGCCATTTGGTACAAAAGATCAAGAAGGCATCGATAGGATATTTGTTGAAAAAGGACTAGGAATGGCCACTAATGTCTACTCCCTTCATAAATCAAGCACAGTGGCCTACTGGAGGAAAGCAGCTGCTAATGAGCTTCATTGTAATATTAATATAATATCTGAGATACAGTTCCCTATTGAGAGACTAATAAAGTATCATAAACACAATAGGAAGGACATTAGTGTCCATGTTATAAAATTCAGTCATTGAGAATGTTAATTAGTTGAGTGGGTGGTGGGCGGAGCGCTACGGGGACCGGCCGGGCATGGCGACAGCTGGACTCTGGAATTTAAAATTTTTATTAATGAGTAGGCTCAGTGTCAGTGAGATGTGGGTGATCGGGAGGAGGAAAAGGATTGTTCTAGTGACAGTCACAGCATCCATAATTGGATTATTCTTAGCTATCTGTCTATTCACACCGTCCACAACCACTGATACTCACTTTATATCAGGTAAGACCTTGTTACCACTTCCTCCATCATTGTTCACACTTACTGGAAAGACGTTTCGATTATGTTATGCGGCTTGTAAGATGCTAAGAATATTGTTTAAAGATGCCCAATTCCTATTTGGGTCTGCTTTTACAGCTATGTACACTTTTAGTTTGTTTTTCATTTTGTAGGTGGAAATGGAAACCTTCCAAATCCAGACATTGATCATCTTCCCACACAAAATTTGACAGTTTATACCTGCTCCCGTCCCTCCTCCTCCTCTACTATAATTAAACACGACCTCAAGCAGATTAAGGGTATTTTTAGACACTACGTACCAAAGAGCTTTGATCCCAAATACAAGAACTATTGCTGGAGGTCACAACTTAAGCTCTCAGCCCTACCCCACACTGTACCGGATTTACGTCATTATTATGAAAGTCATCAACTCGCTGATTATCAAGTAAATGAATTAATACAAAAGGCTGGAGGAGCTGTAGATGGAATTAATGGTGATACACTGACTTGCATTCCTTCTGTTTTCATGGCCGGTTTTCCTAAAAGTGGCAGCACTTATATATACAAATTATTGAGCCAGCATCCGTCAGTTAGTCCAGGAAAAGTGAAAGAGCCACATTTTTGGACATCGTTTCCTTTTCAAAATAAAAACAATTACAATAAACTAGCAGTCCTTACTTATCTAGCTAATTTTAAACATGCTAGCAATTGTAGTTCAACTGATAGTGATTGTGTTACTATTGACGCCAGTCAGAGTTTGATTTGGAACACTAGATACACAATCTCTGATTGTACTCTACCACGGGTCTTTAGGGAGTTATTTCCAAATGCTAAATTCATTATAAACATGCGTGAGCCAACCTCCAGGACTTACTCTGATTTCCACTCCTTTAGTCTCAATGATTGTTCGCAGTTCTTCAAATCTGTTCTTCTCTCGGAGGTTTTCGATCGTAAAATGAAATCAGAAACAGGTCACTTCTCGTCTTGCTTACAATCACATTCACTTCATTATTGTACTCAAGAGTCAATTAATTATCCTGCTAAGGTATTCAAGGACTGCGGAGAGGTTCGACTAGGTTCTAGTGTATACGTGTCTCACGTTAAAAGATGGTTGGCATTCTTCCCACGAGATCAGTTCCTGTTTCTAAGACTCGACGACATCATTAATGATCTTTATGGAACCATGAAGGAAATATGGTCGTTTCTTGGGGTACGGGTTTTATCACAAGAAGAATTTGCAGAATTAAAGAAGAGAGTGATTCGGAAACCGAAAGAGTATAATTCGATGAAGGATTCCACTAGACAGCTGCTTGACGATTTCTTTCGGCCATTTAACGAAGAATTGGCTGAGACATTAGGTGATAATAAATTTATATGGAAATAAATTAAAGTATATTATGATTTTAGCTGATTTTTATCCTTTTTATTTATCATGAGGTGACATTATTATTATCCTTACATTTATTATTATTTTAGAATTTTTGATGCTTTAAGATTTGAAAAACTGCAGAGTATGAGCATGGTATAGTTAGAGTTGGTTCTCATCATTTTATCATAAGAGAAGTTTGAGAGCTATAGCTAAGGACTAACCTTTAATGTAAATGGTTGTCAGTATTATGTAACATGAGAACTCAGAATTATTACAAAGTTGGGCATTGAATGCCCTCAAAAAATTTGAATGGGATCATACCTCTAGTACTCTACCTGACAATAAAAGACTTGTTCTTATAACTGGCATATTATGAAAAAGCTATCGTGGGTTGTCTAATCTCCTCCTAGTTTATAATTATTAATATTAACAACCTTGTAATGTAAATGGGTTATCAGTTACCCTGCCTTTATTTGCAGTGTGAATGAGTTTTGTAAGTAATGCAATATGAAAACTCTTAATTAATACAAAGATGCATGGGCATTGAATGCCCTCCAAAAATTTGTAAGTAACATCTGTAACATACATGCACTAGTGGTGGGCGATATATCGATATTTTATCGATACAAACGATATTTTACGGTATCGATTCGTATCGGTATCGAAATTTTGAAGGAATCTGGATCGATACATTGACCACGCCCATATATTATGGTTAAATAATATTAATAATGAAAATTTTAATAAGTTAATGACGTAAATACACACACGTGGATACACGTGCATGAAAACATCGATGAAAACAGTCAATAATAAGGGGTGTGACTCCATAGGTGTGGTCTAAATATTGTATCGAAACTGTATCGATACTCTCGATATGAGCTGATATCGATCGGTATCGTATCGAATCCATTTTGGCCAGTATCGCCCACCACTAACATGCACTATGATTGCCTGGTAATAGAGACTTGTTGTTATAAGTGGCATATTATGAAAAAGCTATCGTGGGTTGTCTAATCTCCTCCTAGTTTATAATTATTAATATTAATTAACTTCTTTAATACCTCCAATCCTCCATCAGATCTCTTACTGAATTTGTTAATTAACAATAATTATGAAATTGAAAATTTTTCATGTTTGCCAAACGCTACAACAATAAACAACTAATTTTGATAAAATTATCTTTCAAAAAGCTTGAGCAAAAGAACAACAGCAATAATGATAATAATAATAACATTACGGTATAGCAAGACTCATAATAGTAATAATAGTAATCATGATAAATTTGGCATATAATATCATATTATTGTTACTGGAGTTTCTCGTACCCAGTGCTTGATGATTTCTTATAATGGTTTCTAAACCGTCCCACAATGTAAGACACAAGAACCACCAGTACCAGTCCACCAATGACAGATCCAACCACAATCGGTATAAAAGCCTTACCAGTACTATCTTGATAGCAGTGAGAACACTTGTCGCTGAAGCCATCACTGCTTCCGTAAGCCTGTACCCTCAGGTTCTTAATACTGAGGCT